TGAGCTCTTCATGAGTCACTGAGATTCCAGGATCTGTTCCATCTGTACCTGGACTAAGGCTTTAAATTCCAAGTCTGTGACTCTGAGTCATCGGACCTAATCACTTATCCCTTCCCCTTTCAAGTAACTATATGGGCAACTGGACTGGACCTCAATACTCTGGAATTCTAAATAGTTCCTGAGATTTAGCTCCACACTGTCTGGATGTCTGAGTTTGGGTTGCTGTCATGGAATTCAGGGACGGAAAAGGAGAATTCCTTCCAAAGTATAATGGTCTCAGACGAGAAAAATGCTTATTATAAAGACAACTTGGAAGTTGGCCCAGGAAACAAGGTTGTAGTTAATCCTGTATGGATTTTCAGTCTAACCCTGTTTTTTTTTTTTTTTTTTCTTTTAGAGCTAGAGACTGGGTAAAAAATATCTACAGGAAGGAAGAGGTCTCCTGAGATTGCTTGGCAGCTGTGCTTCATCCTCTCCTATCTCTTCACTGGTTCTTCCCCTTTCCAGTTTGTTATGAAACTAATTACTCAACATGAATGTTCCTTTTGATAAAAGGTATTGTTGTATATTAATCCTACCTGTAGTAAATGAAAAAGTCCATTTTCCCCCAAGTTACAACCCAACTAATTTAAAAAGTAAAATGTGATCTAGTTTGTTGTGTTCCTATAATCATCTGCTTGAGAAGTGACTTAATTTACAAACTAGGTTCATGACAAAGCATATGGCCATGTGTACTACCTGGTGTTCTGATCAGGTGACAATTTCCTTTCGCTGGTGTCTTTCAAGTTTGTCCCAGAAAGAGACTGTAAAGCTGCAACTTCTGGGTGGTGCTTGCATAACATGTGGAACCACTAGTAAAGCAGGCTCCAGTCTTCCCAGTCAGGCCATATGGGGCACACCCCATGAGGCCATACGTATATGCTTGGGAGCAGACAGCATATTAATGGTAGTAAAGCCATAGGCATACGGGCAACTTGTACATGTAATTTTCTTGTGCCTTCAGGACCTACCCAGACCCAATCATGCATATCTCACTTCCATTTGATAATGGATTGCTGCTGTACTCATCCTACTTCATGATTTGGTGGATCAGTTAATACCCAATTCATGATGGGACACTCAGGTGAAATGGTAAGTGGATGGCCTAGTTTCAAATGCTCAGTTTCCACTAAGACCCAATAGCAGGCCAAAAACTGTCTCTCAAAGGGAGAATAGTTGTCTACAGATAATAAATAGTAGACCCTTGCTCCAAAATCACAAAGGTTTCTTCTATAATTCCCCTATAGGAGACTGCCAAATGCACCAAAAAAAAAAAATCCCTATTTACCACTGACACCTCTAATAGCATCCTATCTACTGGATCATAGGGTCCAAACAATAGAGTAGCCTGCACAGCAGTGTGGACCTGTTGAAAAGCCATCTCCTGTTCCAGACCCTACTCAAATCTAGCAGCTTTCTGAGCCACTTGGGTATACGGGCCAGAGTAATACACCCAAGTGAAGAAAGTTGGGTCTCCAGAATCCAAATAGGCCCATTGTACTTCTTGATGGTAGGAGGGGTCAGGCGCAATAACTTATACTTCACCTTAGAAGGAATATTTCTGCATGCCACACACCACTGTACTCCTAAGTGTTTCACTGATGTAGAGAGTCCGTGAATTTTGGTCAGGTTTACTATGCACTTTGGTTAGGTTTATTATGCACTTTTTTTTCCCCTAAGAAGTCAAAAGTGGTTCTTCCTCTTGCTCACTTGGTCCAGTCAGCTTAATGTCACAAATATAGGATACCAATGTGATATTTTGTGGTTAAGACAGATGATCAAGATCACTTCAATCACAGGGCTTAAGAGTTCATGTATTCTGGATGTAAAACTGTAAAGGTATACTGCTGACCTTTCCAAAAACATTCATTCTGTTGGTCCTTAGGGACAGGTAGCAATAAAAAAAGACATTTTCTAGATCGATAGCTGTGTACACGAGCCAGGAGTTGTGTTAATCTGCTCATGTAGGGACAACATCTATGGTACAAAAGCTGCAACTGGAATTACTCTGGAAGTCTTTCTCCTCCCTTGTCTTTAGAAACTATGTTGCAAAATATGAGTTACTTTTATAAAAAGCTTGGTTAATAGGCAAGAATGGACGAGACTTTTGTAAATGGCTTCCATTTCCCTCTCTGAATTTTCTATTTTTTTCCTTAATCTTCATCCCGAGTTTTAATTCTAGAAACTTACCACTATGAAAAAAAAATGCCAGAGTTTAAGATGAAGAAAACGGAAGACGTTCAGGTAGATGAAAACAGTAATGGATATGAATATATAGTATTTACATTTTAGCTTCTACAATGTAGGAAGCATGGACTCAACCCAGAAATGTACTAAATATTGTAACTCTCCTAATTATATAGATACATATTCAATATAGAAATATTTTAAGGAATTTCTCATGTGATTTTGATGATAATATTTTAACCATGTTATATTTGTTGGATAAAATGGAATCATTGTGCCTTCTTAGTCATTCACTATTTTCTGCTGGAGAATAAACTGATAATCCACACAGAAGATCAATCTGAACTATCACTCTTTTTATTATGGTAAAATATATATAACATAAAAGTTTCCATTTTAGTCTTTAAAATACTCAGATCAATGGCATTAGTAACATCTACATTGTCATGCAAATACCATCATCATAGATTTGTAAGTCCATATGAAACTGTACTAATTAATTTGTAATCTTCCACTTTCTCCCAAACCCAGCATCCACCATTTGTTCTCTGTATGTATGAATTGTATATTCTTATGGGTTAAATGTCTGTACCTGTCTTGGTTAGGGCTTCTATTGCCATGAAGAGACTCCATGACCATGGCAGCTCTTGTAAAGGAAAACATTTAATTGGGGTGGCTTATAGTTAGTCTGTTATCATCATGGTGGGACACGCAAAGTCCACCAAGAAAACCCTGAGATGTTGATTCTCTCCCGAGGATCTCCCACCCAGTCCTGGACTGGGTGCTTTGCTTGTTATGGGCCTTGGATCATTCAGAGATTCACCAATGTGACAATGAATATGGTTTTAGTAAGAAGAAGCTTTTGATTAAAAGTACTGGCCAGGACCTAACCACAGACTCAGAGTTCTCTAAGTAGGGCCTAAGCTATTGTTAGTCCAAGGACTTTGAAGGCAAAACCCACCAAATTACAAATTGTGGGGGTCAAGTTAATTCACATCCTGTCTGGGTAAAGGCAAAGCTTAATATTTTAAAAACAGGTTTCAGACAGATTCATTGGTTACCCTGAGCAAGCAAACTTTTCATACAAAAGTAGAACTTAGCAGTTAGCCCATTAGTTGTGTGACCCATTATCTTGTAAGAGTAGCTGAGGCAGTGGGAGATTTCACAGCAGTCAACAGTGTTTAAGAATAGCCTAACTGCTCAGGGAAGTCATCCATTTTGGGTAAGTTAGCTGATAGAGTACATTTTTTCTCAAGATAGGAGCAGCTTCTGCACGGCTTATAAGCTAAAAACAATTTGTTTTTACAACTTTTCCCAGCACAGTAAATTATCCTTTAAACATAATGTTCATCATCACAGTTTTATAATAAAATTTCCTTTCAATTCAGTACTCCAGACTCTTCCATGAATTCTTAGAAACACTGGGTATGTGAAAATATCTATTTGTTCTTTACACCCCAAGGCCTTAACTTTAAAAGTCAGAGCCAGTAGTTAAGATGTAACTGGTGAACTACTTGTAACTGTGCATCTGTCTTTTCTGGGATAGGCATCTCTTTCTCATGACACTGTAAGCAAAGATAAACCAGTTAAATGCTATGGGACACTTGCCATTGACTGGCAATGGCATAGAGCACTTGCCACTGTAGTAAGAAGTTGGTTCACTAAGCATAATAGAGTGAAATGCAGCCCTGACTTTCTGCTCATATAACCAGATGTCCACACAATGATAGTGGTGCATGTTAAACCTACCTCTATCTCATCTTTGTGTTTTTTTTAATCTAGAAATAAATTCACTATTTAGTTTTTGAATTTCTTGTTGCTGTCTCAAGGTATGTAACTTTTAATTTTTTCTAACCTATTTTTCTAACCTATGAACTAATTTTTTGTTCCCAAACACTCATGCCCATCCCAACCCTTTAGAGAATTTCAGCCCTTTTCAATATACAGACCATGGGGATATGATGGACAGACTAAATAGAGCCATATGTTAGTGACATTGACTTGGTCACTCACAATTAACAATGGCTTTGTTAAGTCTCTGTATCTCATAAGTCTGGAGATCAAGTAAGTCAGGAGAGATCAGTTCCCTGAGCCCAAACAGAAAGGCACAATCAAGAAGAAAATGCCTGGTCAAGAGCAAAAGAAGTTTTCTGGAAAGGAAACCTCATCCTTGCTGCCATTGCCGCCAAGTGGCCAGTGATGGAGAGGGATGGTCCTGAAACAATTTGCTCAGGTCTTCCTTCTCGCTGTGTAATTTCACATCTATACTGAACCTTGTCCAGGTGGTCTCAGCCCACCAACTATAGGGCACTGAAGAATTTCATCATCTAATTTGTGGCACAAAGTATACTACTACTTCATCTGTAGCTCATACGCAACACTATTGTTTCATACAATTATGGCAAGGCAGAATGGGTGTTTAACTGGGATCTATAGTCCTGGCCAGACAAGAGGCATTTAACCCCAGGAGGCCATAGGTACCAACATGACCTGTTCCTACAGAATGGGAACACTTGATCCAGTGGACAACGTCGTAAGAGTTTCTGTATGGACACATTGATTTCTTTTCTCTCTTCTACATCAGTATTAACTGAGTATATCTCTCTCTCTCTCTCTCTCTCTCTCTCTCTCTCTCTCTCTCTCTCTCTCTCTCTCTCACACACACACACACACACACACACGCATGCGCGCGCGCACACACACACATGCATGCACGCACACATGCACACAATTATGTCCTCATGTTATATTAAGGGACGAACTAGAAAAAGAAGTTCCATTGTCATTTGGAAATTAAGCTTTATTTTTGAATACGTAAATTTATACATTCTTTTGAAAACAAAAACACAGATTTTTTTTTTAAATAAGAGAGTCATGGCTACAAAACTGCTGATGGCACTAATATTTATGAATTTAGTTCAAATAAAGCATGGATGGACCCTCAGTGACTCAGGTGCCATTCTCCACCCAGCAGAGGCTGGTCTGCGAAGAGGAAAGCTCTCCTCAGTACATGCTGTCCCCAGTCCATGTCATCCTTCTTGACACCCAGCGTCTCACACAATGGGGTAAGTGGCATGTGTAGCAATTCCGCAGTGGTTGTTCCAGTCTTTGGCTATTTTCATGTAGCCTTTAATGCCCCATTCTTCACCCCAGCTGGAAGAAGAGAAGGTTTACCATTAAATAGAGAGAACACAGTGCAGCAGGTTCATTACAACAACTTCCCTTAAGCACCAAGCCAGAAACCACACTTAATCGAAAGACTCAGAAATGACAGATGTTTATCTCCTGGATACCCATAGTTGCATGACACAGGACTGTGAAAATCACTGCCGAGAAAAGACAGGATGTCTTCTATCAACATGTGGTACAGAATGGCAGGTACATCCATATCTAAATACTGACCACAGTAGTTGCTTTCTGAATTTCAAATATAAATGTTTTTTGAAATTTATACCTGTTCTTGACCAGCCAGTAACTGTTGCCATCTGATTCTTCTCCTTCAAAGCCATAGCCGACGACCAGAACAGCATGGTTTTGGTGAACCCTTTTGCACTTTGGCTCATAATAGATGCCTTAAAAAAATAAAACCAAAGTTGGGATGAGAGGCTTTGGTGACCTCACAGTGACCATGCCATCAACAATAAGAAAAGCATTTCTAAGCTTACTGAAATGATATACATGCCAGGTAAGACTAAACAAGAGGCTTCTCTGCTATCAGGGCTGAAGCTGTAAGCTCTCACAGGTAAATGTACCAGAAACAAAATTGAGCACAAACCCTTTGGTAAAATGGTTGCTTGCATGCCTATAAGAAATCTTACTGACTTACTTGTAGAAGCCCAAGCAAAACAAACAGAAAATGAAAATTATTGGAATCGAAAGATTCCTTATAGAAATTATCTGCATAAATGAAATATCTCATTAAAATCTCAAAGGTCAAATGGCTGGAGAAAATTCAGGTAAATTACATCACGTGGAACATTAGGGCTAATTTAAAAAACATTAATTGACTCATTCATGGAATTGTATTGAAGTAATGTAAAATAGTAAAATTTACATAAAACTCCTCATATAGAATGTAAAATCCACAAATGGAAATATTTACTTTAAACATCATGTAAGAAAGAAATCATGAGCCAAGACACACCGGGTGGGGGTGAGGGGTGGGTCTAGGCCCTATCCCAAAGGATACCATAGAGTCTGATGACTCCCTATGGAAGGCCTCACCATCCAGGGGGAGCAGAAAGGATATGTGATAGGTAGGGTTTTAGTTGGGGGAGGTGGTAGGGGAGGACAGGAGGGAGAGGGAACTGGATTGTCTTGTAAAAAATCTTGTTTCCAATTCAAATAAAAAAATGAAGAAAAAATAAAATAGTACTCAAAGACACACACACACAAAGAAAGAAATCATGAAATTGATTTGTCATGGTGGCAGTACAACCTTTATGCATGGATTTCTAGAAGGAAGACACTTACCACTCTCATAGAACTGGAAGGAACTATGTCTGGCATCAATGGCAACAGAGATGGGCCCCACATTAGCCACTGCCTTCATAAGGGCTTCCTCATGTCCTGGGATTTGCACAAAGTCTTTGACATTAGCAGCAGAATTCTTGGCTTGATACCTGCACTCCATAGCCTTTTAAAGTTAAGGGGAAAGAAATTCATTCATTGTCATCTGCCTCCTGGAGAACATGAGCTAGAACCACAGAATTCAGCCCATTGCAGATGAAGATCCCCAAGTCTGCTCTCTTATAAAACCTTCCAGGAAGTGAAACTCTACTGAGAGATTTGGTCCTGAAAATTAGCTCACTTGTTTTCAGTGACACTCCTTTAGTCTTCTGTTCGTGACAAGTATTCACAGTGAAAAGATCTGTACTTTGTGGGGTGGCTTTCCTATTTTCTGAGTTCACAGCAGCAAGAAGGGGTCCTTGGAAAGTACCCATCAAATAACCATACAAAGGATGGTACTGTCATGACAGCAGTGATGGTTTACAGACAGATTCTACTATTTTAATGGGAATGTCCTAGAAGTGCTGTGAGATTTGCTTCATCTATCATGAAGTTGACTGTGGGCTTCCAGCATATTACCTTTATTATGTTGAGCTATGTCTTCTAGAGTCATAGAGTCTCCACTAATCTTATCAGGAAGCAATGCTGGATTTTGTTACAGGTCTTTCCCACATTTAATGAGATGATCATGTGGTTTCTGCCCTTGAGTCTATGTGGTGAATTACAATTAACTTAAGTATATGCACCAACCCTGTATATCTGGGATGAAGCTGTCTTGGTTATGGTGTCTGATCATTGAATGAGTTTCAGGATTTAGTTTTTCCAGTATTGTGTTGAGAATTTTTGCTTCTAAGTTGGTTAGAGAGATTAGCCTATATTTCTCTTTTTTGGTTTACTCTTTGTCTGGTTGTGGTATTGGGATACTGCTTCCTTCATAAAATATTTGGAAGTGTTCCTTCCTTTTACTTTATAGAGAAATTTGAGGAGACTTGGTCTTAGTTCTCTGTGGAAGGAATGGTGAAATTCTGTGCTGAATTCATCTGGCCCTGGGCTTTTTTATAGCTAAGAAATTTTTAATTATAGAATCAATGTCAGTTGTGTGGAGTCACATAAGTTATTTACTTCATCTTGCTTTAACTTTGATAGATCACATGCATCCAGAAACCCACCCATTTCTTTTATATTTTCCACTTTAGAGGAATGTGAAAAATGTAATGTGTAGCCTTTGATCCACTGAATTTCCCCGGGATCTACTGTAATCTTTACATTTCTGTATGAAATTTTAATACTTTTTGTCTTCTCTCACTTTCTTTTAGTGAATTTGACTAAAGAATTTTCAATCCTATTAGTATTTCCCAGGACCCAATTCCTCATTTCATTTAAGTCTCAGCTAGAGCAATAAGACAAGAGAAGGAGATGGAGATAAAAACAAATAGACAAGGGCATGGTGCACTGAACAGTATCCTCATTTGCAGACTACCAGAAAAATCCCTATCGCTGATAAACACCTCCAGCAATGTATCAAAATACAAAGTCAGAACACAAACGTCAGTGTGCTCTGATTTATACTCCACGTATACACCACCAACAAACACATTGACAAGGAAATGAGGGAAACAGTAGCATTCATGAGTCTCAAATGTTTTGGAATAAATCTAACCAATCGAGTGAAGATTTATATGATGAAAACTTTAAGAGACTGAAGGAGACACCAGAAGATGGACAGACACAACCTGCTCCCATGCTCAAGAATGGTTAGCATTGTGAAAATGGCCATTCTGCCAAAAGTATTTTACAGACTCCATGCAATTCCTATCAAAACTCCAATGCAATTGTACACAGAAATTTTTAAAAAATCTTAAAATTCCTATGGAAGCTCACACACCAAAATACACGAGCGTGCGCGTGCATGTACACACACACAAAACAAGTCAGTCACAACAATTTTGAGCAATAAAAGCACAGTTGGAGCTATCATCGTCCTTTCCGGTTTAAGTCTTATCACAGAGATACAGTAATGAGAACAAAATGGTAGTGGCACCAAAGCTGACAAGTACAACACTGGATCGGACACACACAAACCTTCCTTACCCAAAGAAGCCAACAATACCAGTTGGAAAAAAGACAGAATCTTCAACAAATGGCTCCGGTCAGACTGGATAATTATAAATAGAAGAATTTAATTAGATCATTATGCCTCATCCTACACAAATCCCATCTCTGAGTGGACCAAGGACTTCAACATAAGACCTGATAGCCCCAATTTGTTAGAGGAGAAAGTAAGGAAACGCTTCAAGTTAGAAACTTAGGGAAGGATTTTCTGAACAGGGCCCCTAGTAGCACAGGGAATTAAGACCAGCAATTTAGAAACGGTGCTGAGGACCCAAGGGTAAGCAGGACAAGAAGACTCACTATTTCCAGAGGGACCCCGTGAAGCAGTGTGGTGTGGAACCTGGGGTGGCAGAGGGGTCTCACAGGGCCCTGAAAACTCGCTACAGAGGCAGGAGCCCTGAGGAATGAATGCCCCAGGAAAGTCACTATTTGGGGAAGCATGGTGGGACAGCAGTGACGGAGGTGGAACACAAGACTCACACTGATTAATCAGGCCTGCTCCCTGTGCTAACAGAGAACGAACTGAGAGGTGAAGAGAGACAGAAGCAAACGCACCAGTGCAAGAAGAGGTCGGTCATTGCCCTGAGATGCAAAGTCAGAGGAGAAATGGCTGCTTCTCAGGAAAACGTGTGCCATGTGTCTGTTGATGTTGTGGATGTGGCTGAAGACTTCTCCCAGGAGCAGTGGCAATGTCTGGATTCTGCTCAGAGGGCTTGCAGTGATGATGGAGAATTACAGTAGTCTGGCTGTGTAATTATATTTGGATCAAGATTCAAAGCATGTTATCCATCAGCGTATGAGTATTCAAGAGAAGTCATAAATGGTATGAAGTCAGCAAAGTGTTCATAAATCCTCCAATCATGAACTTCATAAAACAAGTAACACTGTAGAAATCTTTAGCAAATATGGATATAGTTGTAAGGACTCAGGCATTATGCTGGCCTGCCCTGTCACCTGGCAGAATGACTCAGGCAGTACCCTGGTTAGCCCAGGGCTCTATGACTACATAGTCTGCACGGAGGTAATAAGGACCCCTTTAAAACACAGACCCCGCCCACATACGCTCTCTTTCTGCTCTCTTCTCTGTCCATTCCTGCTGACCCTTTTCCTGTCTCTCTCCTCTTGTGTTCCCTCTCTGTAGCTGTGTCTCTTTACCCCCTTTCTCTTTCCTCCCCTCCTCCGTTTCCCTTTCTAATAAAACTTCTCACTTAAGCTCTGTCTACCTGGCATGTTTGTCCCGACACCTCAGTCACCCTCCATGAAATCCACCAAGGTTCCCCTTGGCGCTTTATCATAACAGTAGTAACCACAGGAATGCCTCTGTTGAATCCTGACACTCTAATGGATATAAAAGCATACTCACTGGAAAGGAACCTTGAAATATAAAGACAGTGACAAATGTTTAAATGTGTATGCCAGTGTTAGTCAGAATCCAAGAGTCCACACGGTAAGAAAGAGCACAGATGCGATTATTGTGGTAATCTTTTGACACTACACACAGACTCCTGCAGCAAAGAGCCCACAGTGGAGAGAAACCACACAAATGTGAGAAGTGTGGAAAAGGCTTCAGGAGCTCAAGTGCACGTGAGGGATTTAATCCTGGAGAGAAACCACAGAAATGTAAAGAATGTGAGAAGTGCAAGTCACACCTTAAAACCCCTTCCAGAGAAACCCTACCAATGTAAGGAATGTGACAAATCATTCACCTGACACTCAAGGCTTAGGACACATCAGATAAGTCAGTGGAGCAACAGCCTGTAATTACAAAGAATGTGGTATGTTCTTTGATCTGAAGTTACACCTTAAAAATCTATTATAGAACCCATGGTGGAGAATTGCTGACATCTAAACGCAATTGGTTCATTTAAATCAGAACAGCTCCATGCTGTTCTGTTAGCCAGTGCTTAGAGATAATTTGTTGAAATTGTTAGGTAGTCCCCTTAATCATCTGGGGACCTCAACACCTGGATACCTGATGTGAAGTCAGATGCTCTGTGTGTGGGAGCTCCTCTGCAGATGCTGCACAGGTTGCCTCCCTTGATGGCCTTTAGAAAACTATACTAGTTCATGGCAGAGTTCCAGTTTCAGGCACAATTCTGCCATCGTGACCACAACCTTCCTTTGACTTCTTAACCAAGATTATTCCCTTCATTTTATAGCCATTTAAAAACACAGCCCTCATCACTCAAACAAGATCCTCTCTTGGAGTCCTTTCAGTCTCAGGAGCTATTATTTCTTTTTTATTTGTAATAAATGTTGGCTGAATCACTCAACTTTTTGGGCCTGGGGTTCATATTTCATTGGCTACAGATAGGATTCTGGGATCACAGTGGCTTATGGGTACAACCTCTGCAACCCTCTGCTGTGGCTGTTACAAGTCCACTCTCTATCAGCAAGACATCGTTGATATCTTGTTCCATGAATGATTTGTGACCCAGGAGAACTTAGTTACTATAATACAAATGCAGTTGATCTTTCCTTTGGAGCAGGAGAGGAAAACACTCACATATGAGGAAAGCGTTCTAGGAGCCACTCCTTTCTGCTGAAGAAAGGCTATCCTGCATATTTGCAAGGCAACATTTTGTGAGCCTGGCATGGTTCTACATGTCTTTAACACTAGCTTTTGGAAGGCGAAGGCTGCCACAGATAGGAGAGCTTGGTTCTTGAAACATGATTCCAGTCTGCAATGTGAATTTTCTGCAAGGGGACCCAAAGAGCTTGTGAGGACCAAGAGTGCCTCTTGTGCTGAGTTTGTATTAGGGGCAATCACATGCAAAGATACCACACAATCATTAAATTGTGTTTACAGGGAATAAAAGCTTTGTTAATGGATCACCAGGGGGAACAAAGACAAGGAAATAAGGGCAGTAAAATATACTGAAACAAACAAAAAACCCCTCATACCTCTTAAGAACTACATTCCCAAACTGTTGATGTGGAAATGGCTCTTATACAGGTCATTTCCCTCTGTCATTAGTGTGCCAAGAGTCAGAGAGCTCCTAGACATAGAATGAGTTTCTTTCTCAGACTATGCTGTTGGCACGAAAGGGCAGGCAAAGGGCTCTATGAGTTCACAGGCAGCCTGGGTTGTGAATGAACTGCATAAGCGAATTGCCAGTCAGAGCTGCACAGTAAGGCACTGTCTCAGAACCAAACCAAACAAGAAAGCATTTTACAAGTTGGTGAAAAATCTTTCCAAATGCATGGAACTGTTTATTACTGTCTTTATAAAGTAGAATGGATGGATGTCTTCAATACATTTTACATGGAAAAGCACAGATATCAGAGGAAAGTCAAAGCTAATCTGGGAAAATGTACAATTGTGATCCAGTGTGCCCCTACAAAAACTCACCCCTTTGCCTGGTGCTTCAGGAAGATAATGATCTCTAGGTTTCCATATCATACTAAAAGTAATGTTTTCCTTCTATGCTTATTTTTATTTTAAAATAATACCACATATTTTTTAAAGGTTTCAAAACTCTGTGTAAGTGGATTTCTTTCATCTTAAATGAAACAGATGTTTTAAATAATTTTGTATGGAAATTTAACAGATAAATGTGATCTCAGCTTTTTTCTTTCTTTTTAATGTTTTTTTCATTTATTATTTTTGTTTATGCTAGCTTTGCTTACTTGTACATCTGTGTACCACATGCATGCCTTATGCCTGCAGAGGTCATGTGATCTCAAATTTATAGCTGGCTATAAACTGCCATGTGGGGGCTGGGAATCAAACCTGAGTCCTCAGCTAGGGCTCTGAACTGCATCTCTTCAGCCTCATCTCACCTGATCTGGTCTTTAGAAAAAAGATCAGTAATAGACACACCTAGGACCTTAGGAAACTTGAACCCTTCAAAACAACAAAGTAAACCATCATTCAGATGAAGAGGCACCACGGGAACTTTTTTGTAACAGATATAAATCTTACAGATGAGTCATATCCAGAACACACAAAGATTAAAAACAAAACCAGCAGCAACAACAACAAAAAACCCAAACACCATGAAAACAAACACCTAATTAAACTTGGGGGGATTAGAACGAATCAGAGTTCTCAAAAGAAGGAATAAGATAGCCAAGAAATACTTCTTAAAAAATGTTCAACATCCTCAGTCATCAAGTAAATACAACTTAGAAACTGCTTTGAAATTTCATCATACTCCGTCCAGAACAGCTAAGATAATAAAACAAATGACTAGAAGAGGCTGATGTGCGTGTGGATAAATGGGAGTACTTATTCTCGGTTGGCCAGAGTGCTGATGAGTGGAACACTCCTGGATGTCATGCGGGGGAAGTTTCCTCAAAGAGCCAGAGATAGACATAACTTATGATTCAGCTACAGCACTTCGGGGCATAGAACCATAGGGGTCTGTGTCCTACCACTAAGAACTCCCTCATCCATGTTCATTGCTACTTTATCCATAATAGCCAGGATACAGAAACAGCCTAGATGTCCACCAATGGATAATGAAGACTTGGGACATATACACAATGTAATATATTCATTTATAAAGAAAAATGAAATTATGAAATACATAGATTAGTGATTAGAATTGGAAATAATTCTGAGTGGGGTAACCCAGATCCAGAAAGACAACTATATCAGGCTCTCTGTCATATGTGGATGCTACCTCAGGCTTAGGTATCATTGCAGAAGGCAGGGGGAGGGGGAGGGGGGTTCTTAAAAGATTGTCAAAGCCAGAGATAGTGAACATCTGTAATGAAAAGTATGTGTTGAGATACGGCAGGGACACTGCACACATGAAATCACAGAGTTTTGACTGTAAACACATGATCTGCACAAGATTCACCCTGCCAAATACCAACATGGACAGTGGGGAGGGTCACGGAGTCCCACCCCTAGTTGTAAAGCTATTGGCAACTGATAGCTGCCGTAGGAGAGAGAAGAGTAAGTTTTCTTTAGGGGTGTGGCCCCTGAGCATGTGGCCCCATGATCCAGCCAATGGCCCTATACTCCTATACACACAAGCAGTGTTTTCTGTTTTTGTTTTGTTTTTGTTGTTGTTGTTTTGGTTTTTGGAGACGGGTTTCTCTGTGGCTTTGGAGGCTGTCCTGGAACTTACTCTTGTAGACCAGGCTGGTCTCGAACTCACAGAGATCTGCCTGCCTCTGCCTCCCGAGTGTTGGGATTAAAGGTGTGTGTCACCACCGCCTGGCTCACACATGCAGTATTATATGACTTAGTGTGTTTAATAAAAAAAAGAGCCCAGGAAGTTGGGAAGGAAAAGAGTTTGGGGATGACAGAGGCAAAGGGAAGGCATAGATTTGATCAAAACACACTATATGAATGCAAGTAGTTCTTTAACAGCAAAAATAAATAAATAAATAAATAAATAAATAAATAAATAAATGACAATGTGAGCTTGAAGAGAGCAGATTGCTCTGCACTTGTTCTGCTTTCTACAGCCTGAGCTGGGATGGCAAGAGCACAGGAGTTCTACTTACATGTCCTTGGTAAGGATAGGACTCCTCAGTTGCCAGGCCGCCATTGTCCCTCACATACTGGAAGGCAGACTGCATGAAGCCACCGCTGCAGCTACGGGTAACATTAAATTCCATGCAGTCCAGTAGGTTCTGTTCACTCAGAGCATTCAGCTTCCGTGTTTTCTTGAACATTTGTCCTTCTAGGGCTCCAGTTGCACTAAAAGCCCAACTAGAGGCACAATGACCCTAAAGGACAGAAAAAAGGCCGTCATTCATTCACAAGCCTAATAGCAGATATTTGTGAACAATTCATGCATCAGAATACTTTTGCAAAACAGTGAACTGCATGCTTCTCCACAGTCTGAAGAAGCAAAGATGACACTTGTTTCACAGCTTCCTGTGAGTAGTGGGAGCTGGGAGCACCACACGGCCGTACCTGACTCTTCACAGGGGTCACGTAGCCTTGCTCTCTCCAGTTCACTTGTTTGGGCACAGAAAGAAACAGATGATCCTGGAATATGCGCCTCCTTTTTATCCTCTGCCTTCGAAAGCCAGCCATCGTTTTCCTGAATTCTGTATTGTTCTTCAAGAACAGTCAACACATGGTTGAGGGTATTTATAAAGAAATGAAGAGGAGAAACACTATGCTATGCAGTTCACTTCACACTCACCAAGTCACCAAAGGCATTCATTGCCATGGTGAAGTCATGCTTCCCCTGTAGGTATTCCCAGTTATGCAGCTCAATCATTTTAAAATTCTTCTCCCACACCGCTCTCCTCAGATTTTCTTCATTCTGGGAAAGAAGAATACAGTTCGTGATCTTTTTTCCTTCTATTTCAAGTTCAACCCAAGTTCACTCAGTGGACCCTTCTGATGAAGATGAGCCATGACAAAGGATAGCTGTATTCTTCTGGGAGCCATTATCCATACCACTCAGGAGAAACAGAGATTTTTTGTCACATAGTACACAAGATGCATGTCTTTTGGTTAAGCCTTGGACAGAGCTGGATTCCAGAACCTATAGGCATTTCAATAATACATAAATACAAGAATATACAAAGCTAGGGCTATCATCTACAGGAATTTCTATGTTACTAACCTCGTCATATGTTTTCCCATGTTTTGTCTTCCATTCATGCCATTCAACATCCAAACTGGAACCTAGTATTGTAAAAGTTGAGTTGACTTCCAAGCAGAGGATGACTAGGAGGAGAACAGCAATCATGTCTCATATACCTAGAGAAGGAGAAGAAATGAGATTGAATTACATCAGTACTTCAGCAAAGCTTCCTTATTCCCACCTGGAAATTAAAACCATAATAACATTATTATTATGTGCACTAAAATTATTTGAACTGTCCTAAAGACTATACTGTCGAAAAGGTTAAAGATCTGGTTGGCTTGAGGCAGACACAAAAGACTTTGGTTTATTCATTAAAATGAAGAGCAAGTGGCCAGGCTCCAGGAAATGGACTGTGTGTGCCCTGTGAACTTAGCTCACTACAGGGTGTGGATTCACTTTATGGTTTAGAAGCTTAAATCTAAGAGTTAAGGCACAGTTGGCTCGGGTTTTGTGCCAGTGGTACTGAGGTTACATGATAAAAATTTCATTAGTGCAGAATATGATCCCAAGTAAGGAGAAACACAACCCCAAGAGTTGGGGGAGAGGCACAAGCAATCTTTTTCTTGGCCTGAATGAATGTAGCAGGAGATAGCTTGGCTCATTTCCTTCAGAAATCTTTCAGAGACATTCTCTGTAGACAAATATAGAAAGACAACATGCAATAGTTCATATTACCTTTACTTTGGAATGTGACTAAAAAAAAATCATGTCACTGCCTCAGTGAGGTCCCATTGCTAAGATCCTGGATGGCACAGCTACGAGCACAGGGTTGATGACAAGAGCCACTCAATTCCAGAATTCTAGGTGCAGTTTTCAAATCATGTGTACACAAGCAACATGAAATGGGCCTTGAATGTTGTATCTATGAAATATATGTAGCCATAATAGTAAACAGGCAGAGTCTATGAATTTGAGAGAGAGGAAGGGGAGGCAAAGGAGTTGTTGGAGGGAAAGGACATTGGAAGGGGAAAGAGAAGAGAGAAAATTATATAATTACGTTTTAACTTAAACTTTAAAAAAATAATGAAGAAAAAGGGTGTAAAATACAAGCTGTAGAAAGTGAAATAAAAATGAAACAGTCAGTAGGTGAAAGAGGTATGTTAACAAGGACATAAAAAATGAGGTTGTGTTTGGTTGAAAGATTGTAAAGGAAAAGAGAATGCCTTAGGTAAGAATGGATTTTGTATGATAAAAGATTTTTCACTAAGAAGGCTCTAATATGAGAGGGATACCAAGAAAGGTTACAGGCAGGTCGGAAAAAGTCTGAGTATGTGTCAGATGTGTGGTAGATGAGATTCACAGATGACAGACAGGTTATTAAAGGTTAGAAGGTCAAACTTTTATTTAAATAAATGGAATTCTCTTGAGGTACTCGTTTGCTCATAGTAATGTATAAAATTTGATTCTAAAATTTAAAAGTATGCATAGTCAGCATAATTACTTGTGATTTTGCCAATTTTGTTAGCTTTTAACCAGTTGAGTAAATAGTCTTAGCAAAATCAAGATTCATTTAAAATTGTTGACTTTTTGTCTAAATTTATCTAAATGTAACATTAAAGTTAAAATTTCAATATTGGTAAAGCTATCCTGGGTGGGCAATTCCAAAGCTTAGGGACCTACACCAACAATGACACGGTGGTCAGAGAGAACACTCAATATTTTGTCCCTTGTAATTTTTGTCAGCTAAGACACAAGAGAAGATGGGACCTGTCCCTCTTCCCTGAGGACATGGTATCTCCAGCCATTCTATTGGAACCAGGGTACATCTTACAGGGAGAAGAGTCAGTGGAGATTGACACCCTCCCCTTTGTTTCTGAAGGAAGCCACATAGTTAGCAGAATCCTGACCCAGCCATTGAGATGTCACAGAAAAGAAGAAAAACTAGAGGATTCAGGGACTCCTTCTAAGTCACTAGGAGTGAGCTCTCAGGAGTTTCAGTAGGCTGTGACCACATACATGTCCTTAACCCAAAAGCAAAGTGTAACCAGGAATATAAGATGGCCTCACAAGCTTTGGAATATAAAATGGCCCCACCAAATGCCTATTTTTGTTCTTTTGGTTTTTTGAGACAAGATTTCTCTGTGTAGCCCTGGCTGTACTGGAGATCACTTTTTAGATTGGGCTGGCCTTGAACTCACAGAGATCTGCCTGCTGGTGCCTCCAGAGTTCTGGTATTAAGGGCATGCACCACCACTGCCCAGTTTTAAACACCAGAAAATTAATAATCCTTATCTAGGGTAAAATACTCTTTTCTGGCAGATGCTCAAAAGGAGAAACAGGAAACTCCTACTGGAACAATAGGTCAGTTGAGGATTTACATACTCTCCTCAAAATGGAACCCCCGCCCCCAAGCACAGTCTTCCTTAAGCACTTCCTGTCTCTTTGGGTAGCAGATTAGGTTCTTCTGATATTAAACAGCTTGCCCTTGCAACATCATACTCAACATTAGATCTTGCTATTTTAATTTTTCTTTGCTTCTTTGGGTTTTGCTCATGCTGTGAATGCTGTGAACTTTTGTTCAGAATAAATTGATGTCCATTGTGGTTCAGAAGTTTAAAGCATGAAGTAAGTACTTAGGGTATACTTAGGTTAATATTTGGACCCATAATACTGAGGTCACCCTAACAAACTTCTTCCAACATGACTCTGACCCCCAAGTAAAGACAGATAAAGGGGACTCCAGGAGTTTGGACACACACAGCACATCCTTCCAGACTAACATAGAACGGGAGATACACTTCATTTCTTGGACAAAAACTTCTTGGTATGTCCTCCCTAAAGAATAAGGACAACATCCACTAATCCCTCTGTCCTATACGTTGGTCTATACCTTCAGACTTTACACTCATTTTTAAAGGAGGCCAGATGGCCAAGGAACTGGAAGCCAGAAACACTAGTGTAGGTGAGGCACAAAGGCAGGCCACCCTTAATGAAGACCAGGTTCTCAACACTCCAAGTAGGGCCATGCCAGGGCTATAACACAGTCAAGAACATAATGCTCATTGACACAACAAGTGAAGGTCACAGCACTTGTGAACAGGTGACAGCCTGAATGTCTCTGTGGCCAGGCCCAGACATTTTTTCACCGGGAATAGCACAGAGTGGGGATCTTGGAGGAATCTGATTGTCTCTTAGCTTTCTTGTCCCATTGTCCCCTGCTCCCATACACCAGGGCTGAAGAGGCTGAGGGCATGTCATCCCCGGGGGATCTGCCCACTTTCCCGATGAAGTCTATCAAGGGCTGTCCTCTAGTGTGAGAGCCTGGCCTTCTTCCTTCTACCTTCCCTGGCCTACTGGGCTCACCTGGGATGTCTGCTGATCCTCAGATGCCCTCCACAGATTTGAGCTTTAGAGGTCCTTGGGTTCCACTGATCTGTCTGACTGCATCTCCCTTACATTTTAACAGCTGAGTCTTTGCCTAGGAAGCCCCACCCCTGAGTCTTGTCCGGCCTGTAACTGGATGTGTCAGTGAGTAAACTGGCCCTCCAGGCCTCAGAACTCCAGGAATGTATCTACAGTTAATCACATCCTTTCATGGGGCAGGGCAATTTGTAATGTGTTACTGTTAGGCAATGTGGCCAATCATCCTTGAGATCTTGAGTCCTGACTTTGTGTTTGGAGGGTTTATCAATAAAAAAAATATTATTAGATAATTCTGTGTTCAATGTTAGCCCAACACTGACTTTAGTTTAGGAAAAGTGGTTTTGGTTAAAATATCCTGGAATGGGCTGAGTCAGTATACTCTAGGGCAGTGTTCCTTGTTCAAGCTAAGGGAGGACCTTGTGAGTGTAAAGATGCTAGAGAGCATTGACTTCAGTGTTGGCGAGGACACAGATGTCATAAGAGTCTTAACAGAAGGCTGTCTCCAGTCAGGAATGAGAGGTGAAGGTCACACCTAGATGGAAAAAAAGCAGGTGGGGTGCCAGGTCTCCTCACACCGGCATTTGGAATGACTTTGCTTTGTCCCCCACTCATGAATTATCCCTGCCCCCGTCTTTAGGAAATATGTCATGAAATATGAACCATTTGCAGAAAAGCATGGGTACTAAATTTTAAAAGAGTGACCGACGTCTTTGGGAAACAGCTTCTGGTTTTTCCCTCTGCATTTGTTTTTGTTTTCTCACTATTCATTCTGAGATTTAATTCTAGAAATGTACCTTCATGAGCTTTAATATCAGAATTTAAGACAAAGAGAACCGAAGAGGTTTTAGATAGATAAAAACAGTAGTAGATAAAATTGTGTATGTGTATCTTAGTAGTAGATAAAAGTGTGTATGTAAATTTAGGAAGTAATGAATGCAGCCCCCAATGCAATAAAGTTTAAAATATATCCTAATCACGTAAATACATAGTCATTGTAGAAATTGTTCAATTAATTTATCATTTGATTTCATGTCATTTTAAACTATATTTTTGACTTATTTGATACAAGTGGAATCATTGTGCATTCACACTTACATACTCATTTCTGCTTGAGGTTAAACTGATCCTACATCTAGAAGCATAATCTGCACCATCACTCTGTGTGGTAAAATTTTAATAACATGAAAGCTTCCATCTAAGCCAGGGTGAGCACTCAGCTCAATGGCATTAGGAAAAAAAAATCACACTGACATGTAAAAGTCACCACCATAGATCTCAAGGTTAAGCATTTGTCTCCAACCACAGCCACAGTGAAATGCAATTGCCCTCAAACAGCATGAAAAAGTGAGAATGTTAAGAGATAAAGAGGGTCCCAAAGAATGTATCACTGTTCCGTGCTTTATCAGAGCTGTTTTAATGATGTTGCTCAGAATGGTTTCCTTCCAGATGATGATTGAGAAG